GGCACAGTGGATACAACAGTGGGCTCAAACACAGCAACAATTGTGAGGTAGGTACAAGGACTGGGCAGTGTTTCCTTTTATTGTGCATAGGGTCAGAACGAACTTGATTCCACCTAAGGACAACAATACAAAGATGTCCATTGTCTTTTTTTTTTTCTTTCTTCCTAATGTCAATAAAAATAAAATCTGGCTAACTTATATGTCTGTTTCCTGATTTTAAAGAAAATTTTTAGAGCAGTTGAGGACACTTGAGCCATGGACTGAGAAAGACTGTGTGGCTGTGTGCCTGCGGGCAGGAGGCAGGCTTGCAAAGTGGGCCCTCTGGACTGCAAAAAGGTTATGTTTTTTGTTTTGTATGTGTACATAAAAAACAAAAAAACAACTGATGGTGCATGCAGGGTACTGTAATCATTGCAATGAAAAGAAGTATGATTTGTTGAATGTAAAACTGATAATCTGCCCTGTAAACCTTCATTCAACTCACAATAAAAACTTAAAAGAAAAAAAACCCATCAGTTTTTAAGTTGATAATTTTGAATGGCATCTGAAATGATGCTGTAAATTTTGGCAGAAAAAAAGGTTCCCTGCCCTGCTATAGAGGGAGCTCTGGTAATATAGTGGTTATGAGTTGGTCAGCAGTTCGAAACTACCAGCTGTTGCACAGGAGAAAGATGACGGTTTCTGCTCCTGTAAAGATTTACAGCCTCAGAAACCCTATACAGGGTTGCTGAGTTGGAGCCAACTCCACGGCACACCACGACACTAACTTTATATATTTCTAAAACCCTAAACCCATATTTCAGAATGGATGTAGTACTTCATTTGTGTCCATTTAAAAAACCATTTCCCCTCAACTCAATGTTCAAAACTCAAAGCCAAAAACACAACTATTAGTAATTTATTTTGAACAACAAGTACAGCTTATACATTAGAAAACATTAAAAAGCATCTTCATAACTATTGCAGATGTTTAATCTACTCCTTCCCTCAATATATTCTACCCAAACCCAAAAGGAAATGTATACTTTTGAAACATATATATATGTATGTATTATTAGTTGATGTCATTGTAGAATTCTGAAATACTTTGGTTAATAAATAAATCTTGGATTGAATAGACAATGGAAATTGTTGCTGGGAAATGTTTGCACCTGGTTACTGAATAAAGTCAGTTTAGGCTATTTTAAAATCATTGGTTCCTTCCTAACAGTCTGATAAAAACTGGAACTGATAATCTTCACGGTAATTTCTCTAGGAGTTCTGCTAAAGAAATCATGCAAAAAGCTAAATGAACGCCAAATGGTGCTGTTAACATGGGCTACAGCTATTTAACTGTTAATCTGATAGTTTATGAATAAATGGACTAGTGGGAACGCCACCGTGCAAGCTCCCTATCTGTTTGGACTCCTCATGGGTTTCTCTGGTTACCCAGCATCACTCTGGCTGCCTTCTTCTTGTTACCAGCAGGTAAAGGTCATGAAAATGCCTAAACAAATACAAAGAGAAATAATTTGTGGATAGTCTCTTATTTTTGCTCATCGGCTCCAAAGTTTTCTCCTAATATTTGTAGCTACTAGCAGGACATTGTTATTTCTTTTTACATTTCTGCATAAAGCTTCAAGAGAACAGCTAGAATGTCAGCTGAATTCAATACTTTTTCAACTAAAGAAGACCCAAATAGCAACTGATTAAAACATTTGGGAGCCTAACTGTGCTCCATACCTTTCTCTCTGAAAAGTCTTCTAAATGAAATGAATTTTTATTGTTTTATTTACGTAGGATCCCAGGACACATGAGGTGAAGCCATAACTTTCCCCACAAATTATGCATTACACATATTGTAAAAATATTAAAAATTAAAAACTGAGTCAGGTCCATGACTACATATATCAGCATGTAGGAAATGAAAGCATTAATTGTTGTTGTTAGGTGCCATCAAGTCGGTACCGACTCATATAGCGACCCTATATACAACAGAATGAAATACTGCCTGGTCCTGGGCCAACCTAACAATTGTTGCCATGTTTGAGCCCATTGATGCTGCCACTTGGCCAATCCATCTTGTTGGGGGTCTTCCTCTTTTTTTCTGACCCTCCACCTTACCAAACATGATATCCTTCTCCAGCAACTGGTCCCTCCAGACAATATGTATGAAGTATGAGAGACAAAGTTTGGCCATCCTGGCCTCCAAGGAGCACTCTGGCTGTACTTCTTCCAACACAGATCTGTTGGTTCTTTTGGCAGCCCATGGCACTTTCAATATTCTCCGCCAACACCGTAACTCAAAAGCATCCATTCTTCCACGATCTTCCTTATTCACTATCCAGCTTTCACATACATATGAGATTACTGAAAATACCATGGTTTGCGTCAGGTGCACCTTAGTCCTCAAGCTGACATCTTTGCTCTTCAGTACTTTAAAAAGGTCTTGTGCAGCAGATTTGCCTAATGCAATACATTGTTTGATTTCTTGGCTGCTGCTTCCATGAGTGTTGAACAATGAAGTCCTTGACAACTTCTATCTTTTCTCCATTGATTAGAATTCTGTTTATTGGTCCAGTGGTGAGGATTTTTGTTTTCTTTACATTGAGGTGCAATCCATACCCAAGGCTGTGGTCTTTGATTTTCATCACTAAATATTCTAAGTCTTCACTTTCAGCAAAAAAAGGATATAGAAAACTAAAATATATATTTAGACTTTCTAAAACAATTAAGCCTGTTACTTAATAACTAAAAGCTAATAATGTATATTAGCTTCTTGGGTGGCTATTTAAATAGCTGCATTTGCGTCAAAGTTTCAGATCCTATCATACAAGATGGTATCTTTTAAAAATTCATGTGAGTACTATCCAATATGCCAATTTTCACTGCTTTTTAAAAAAAGTATTTCAGAAAACATAGTGGTAGAGAGTATGTGTCAAACTCTACTGGTTTACCATAATGGTTGTTATTGTTAAGTTCCACTGAGTCGGTTCTGACTCATAGCAACCTGTATAGGGTTTCTGAGGAGCAATTGATGACTTAGTAGAAGCAAAACCATTAAAAAAAAAAAAGTCTAGGCCACTTCAACTGTGACTTATAGTGACTTGATAGCATGTAAGACTCCTGGTATAGTGCCATAGGATCAGCACAGGGAGGAGAATCTCAAGGTCAATGGTTCAGACCCAATAGCCACTCCTTGGAAACCCTATACAGGGTGGCTATGAGTTGGAACCAATTCAACGGCACTTAATAACAGTTAGTGCTTAAACCCAGTAGGGTTTCCTAGACTGTAAATTCTTATGAGAGCAGATAGTCTTGTCTTTCTCCCTCAGAACAGCTGGTGGCTTTGAACCACTGACCTTGAGTGAGCAGCCCACAGCCTAACCCACAGTACCAGCAGGACTCCTAATCAGAAACAAAGGGAATGTAAAATATGTGCATTTTGTAGCTTGAGGAGGTGGTGCTAGAACTCGAATAAGTATCTATTTAGAAAAAATATAAAAAATAACCAGAACACAGGAAGTGGAACAAAGAAGGGATGTTAGTGCTATTGTTGGTTTATATATATGTCACTGCGTCGATTCTGACTCATAGTGACACTATAGCAGAACTGTCCCACAGGGTTTCTAAGGCTGTAATCTTTTCCCTGAGAAACAGCTGGTGGGATCAAACTGCCGTTTCAGTTAGCAGCTGAAACACTGTCCTTAATATCTTAGACATTATGCCAGCAGGGCACCTTCTAAAGCGAAAGCAGGGCCTATTTTGGGCCTAAAATATCACCATCTGTCTCTTAGCATAAATCTATGGGATAAAGTAAAAGAGAAATCAGAATGGAAGACGGTGAAAGTAAAAATCAAGGCAAATTTTCCAAGGTCATGGATGGTGCCATTTATGTCTCCTAAAAGCTCAACTGGCTCCCAAAACTCAGCAGAATGATCCCCACACACTGAATTCTAGTGAGTACCTGAAATAAAGTAGCAATACAAAATATTTGCTACATAGTACTATCAGGTATGTTTATGAATAAATAAGATGTTGTGTTAACAATGTGGACTATAAAACCACTCGTTGCTATTTAAAAAATAAAAACAAGGAAGTCACTACCATAAAAAAAATGAAATTTACTCTTTAGGCTCATTTCATTTTGATAATTAGGATAAGCCATATGGATAATCACCTGGTTAGAGCTTCAAATAAACAAAGTAGAATATTTGACAGAGGGAGAAATGTGTTTATATGCTGGGTTTCCAGAACTAAGTGTCAACCTTCTGGTGTTTTCATTTGTTCTTGATGGAATATATATACTTTCCTATTTCTGAAGGCAACAGCGTCTTAGTATTTTGCATATGAACAGCTTACAAAGCAGCAATGAAACACTGGGTAAGAACTTACGAAACACAGGGCACAAACTTTTCTGATAAACAATGAGTTGAAATAGTTCATTTCCTTTTTACTTTGTGAGAGACAACACGTGGCAAGAGGTAAACAGTGGCGCCCAGGTTCTAATCAAAAGTCTTCTAAGCGCCGAGTAGTATTAACGGAGACTTGGTAACACTAGGTTCTAAGTATCTATGCAGAGCTTCAATAATACAGCAATAACTGTCTATGGTTGATATGTTTGTTGGTTTTATTGTGTAGTTAGTTGCCTAGTGACAAACAGAAATGACTGTGAGGATGGGGCAGGACCAGGCAGTGCTTTGGTCTCCTGCTGTTTCTATGGTAACAAGGGGTCGCTATGAGTCAGAACTGGCTGGATGGCATTGAACTGCAACAACAACCATCACACTATCCTTTATTTTATTGTCTGCTGGGCAAAGTTTTAAAACATTTCCTTCCATTTGGATATCTGATAGAATTACATTTTTCATCAAGTTTAATTTTTTTTTTTTTTGATCAGACCCTTTATGTACTATAACCATGGCCTCCATCAACCAAGGCAATCATTTGTCTCTTCTTTGGTAGCATACTGAAATAAGAAGTCTTCTAAATACGGGTGAAGTTCTTCACGTGTGAAATCTTCAAGATGGATTTAATTTGTGCCACTTGATAACAACTTTTTCTGGGTTAGTAATGGTCTCTTTCCACTGGTCCGCTGCGTCAATGGTATTACTATTTTCACTTATCCAAATCTGTACAGAAACAGTACAATTATTTAACTTGACAAAATACCAACTGAACTCAAACAGAAATATTAGGAAAGATATTTCACAGGTTGATTTGCATATTTTCAATTAAACATCTTCCCATTTTCCCCGAAATTTATTGAGTTTCCATTTGAAACAACATCTATAGCCTATTTAGTCATTCAGAAGAGTAAATGATACAAGTCAATGAAAAAATTTAATGTGAGCTATTCCAAATTTATTTTCCCCATTTAGTGACTGTTATCCTTTCTTATTCAATTAATCTAGAAGCTGAGCATAAACCACCCCAAAATATTTTTGTGAATATTACTGTTTACTAAGTCTATTAAATGAGGTTGATACATACTTTTTAAATGAGGAGGATATATACTTTTTTATATATCAACCTCATTTAATATATTTACATACATATATATTTTTTTAAACCTTTTATATTAAGGAAAACTGTAATTATAATAGATATCTATACATAGTTACTGTTGATCACAGTGAATAATGTCACAGTATCTGTGGGTTAATGTGCTAGACTGCAAGGTTGGTTTCAATAGCAAGGTCAGTGGTTCAAGCTCACCAGCCACTCCTATACAGGGGTGCTATGGGTCTGAACCGACTCGATGGTCCTCAACAACAACAATCACTGATGTATGGAGTCGTGGTATGGTGCTGTATGATAAACACTGAATGGCAAGGTCAGTTTGAACCACAAGGTTGATAGTTCAAACTCATCAGCAGCTCCTCAGAAGCCCTATACAGGGTCGCTATGAGTAGGAACTGACTCAACGACACTTAACAACAACAACAACAACAACATCACTTAGGTAACTTTAGATAACAGAAGGGAATGAACTGTGGGAAACTGTAATGAGTCATACAAACAGAAGATACCACAATGGTTACATTTCATGGAGGCAAGGGGGACCCGAATTCTCATCGAGGTGGTAGCTACTTAAAAATGCTGTTACCTTGGAATTAAAATTCTCAGAGCCTAACTTCTAATTCCTTAAAACAAAAACTTTGAATCAGGTCATTGTTTTTCAAACATTTTTTCCCTTTCTTTCTTGGTCTAAAGAAGCTTTTCTTCAAATAAAATCTTATAAGAAACTGCAATCTATAATTCTGATAAAACTGGACTGCACTGGGAGAATCTGATTCCACATCTGGCCACACCATCATGGTGGCTTATAAGCTGCTGGAGCACATGACCAACAAGAACTTGTCCCAAGTTATTCGTTTAATTAAAACCTCAACAGCAACAACAACAGAACCAGAATCATCATAAAGCTAATTCTGAAAATTACCTTTCATATACATTCCCATTGATTCACATGATAGTTGAGGCTTGATGAGAAGGCCCCAGGGCTTTGGAAAGTATGATAGTTATAAAAATTGTTGAGCTCAAACTCTTTTCCAAATAAAAATAAATGAACAACAATAAAACTATGACATTTAAATGTTGTTAAGTGCCGTCGAGTCGGTTCCAACTATTAGTGACTCTGTAGAAGGTTTCAGAGGAGTAACTGGTAGGTTTGAACTATCAGCCTTGTGGTTCACAGTCCAGTGCTGATCCTATAGTGCCACACCCGAAGTTTACTTTAGGGAACACATGAAAAGGATGAGTCAGAGTTGACATTAATCTTGGAAATTTATAATATAATTTGAGGATTTCATTTAGACTGTTAATAACATCTTGCAGTCATGTGGAAGCTTCTGAACCAAAAATATAAATTTCTGGAGTTTAAATATGGTTCAAACAAATTGTGGTTAAGACAAAAGATAATAGACAGCTAAACAGATCCACTTTGGAATACAGAAAGTCATTACAGAGCAAGCAAGTATGAGGCCTGCCAAGTAAGCAAATGACATGTCTTATGTAAATTTCTAAGAATTTTTAAATAATCATTCAGCACCAGTATTGAATATCTAAATAATATCACAGTCACTGCTAAAATTGATTTTTTTCTAGGAATTGAAACCTATTATAATTGTCTTGGAGTCTTGGTTTGGCACTGTAGGATAAGCACCAGACTTCCAGGTCGGTTTGAACCACAAGGTTGGTGGTTCAAACCTACTAGCTGCCTCTCGGAAACCAACAGCACTTAACAATGACAACAACATAATCCATTTAATAGCAAATGAACCAACAGTGATCAAGATAAACATAAATTTGATTTAAATAATGCTTCTTCCTTTATAAGGATCTAGTCAATGGTACTGAAAAATCACTGTACTGGCAGTTTTTAAAGTTGAAAAGTTTAGAAATAGACATATTTTAAGACAGAAAACCTGAATGCTCAGAATTTCCAGCTTTTTGTATTGAAGCAAAAAATCTAGCAAGTTTTTTTGGTCACATTAAATTTTAACCTATGATGCTCAGAATTTTCTTCTCTTCAACTTTAATTTCATCCTACATCTCCTGTGTTAACAATCTGATTAAATGGTCCCAGAAAAATGCAAGGTAGGTAAAATCATGATAAAAATTCACTACTAACCTGGCCCACAAAGTGTTTTCTTCTCACAGAACTTCGGCTATAAAGTTTAATAAGAAAAATAATTTCTTTTTCTGTCTGTATCAGTGGAAAAATCATAGTCTCTCCCCACTTTACTTGTCCATTGGAAGCCTTCAGCAAGCGTGTCTTCTTCTTATAAATCAAATCTCCTGAGCTAAACATTGCAACCTTCACAAAAAAGCCTAAAAAACAAGAACATTGTGACATATAAAATGTTACTTAAGATACAAGATGAAAGAGGGAGCAGCTGAGGACTCTAGATTCATGGGAAGAGAGGGCCTAAGAGATGGCGGCCAGGAGGCAGGCTTGCAGAATGTGCCCCTTGGTGGTGTAAATTATTATATATGCCTTAAGTGTTTAAAAAAAAAATAAAGAGCTAAAGTGAATAGAGAGAAATACTGTTAACTGATGGTACATGGAAGGGATTATAATCATTGTACTGAAACAAGATGTATGATGTGTTGAATGATGTGCCCTGTAGACTTTCACTCAATCCACAATAAAAACCTTAAAAAAAAAAAAAAAAAAGTATTTAAATTACAGTAGAATAGGCCTAAAAAAAAAAGAAAAGAAAGAATCAGTGATTAAAAAGGAAGAATCTCAACAAAATTCAGTGACAAGAGCCTACTACGGTCTCATGCATAGCAGGATCATGAGAATGACTCTGAATTTGACAGTGTTTCATTCTATTGTAGGTACAGTCGCTATAAGTCAGAACCAACTCTATAGTATTTTAAAACAATATTTTTTTATATTGTTTTAGTGTTTACTTTGTGGTTATCAGTATTATTTTAATGCATAAAATTTTATTTTGGATTAATAACAATTCTATAGAAATATTTTCCCTTAAACATACATTTTTTTCATGTAGTTGACTTTTAAATAAAAAAGGAAAACAAGATATAATAAAAATAATACATGTATGCTGTCTTCTATAAAAAAAAATAAGAAGAAAAAAAAGACACAAATAAAGGTATATAGCTATATTATGTTTAGTCCTGGTGTGGCGCTGTGGAATAAGGCACTGGACCACAAGGTTGGTTTGAACTGCAAGATCAAATTTACTAACTGGTTCAAATTCACCAGCCACTCCTTGGAAACCCTATCAGGGTCGCTATGAGTCGGAACCAACTCGAAGACAATTAACAACAACAACAACAGTCCTGTATTTAACTTCTTGAGGAACCCCGATGTATTGTCCATACCTGTACAATTTTACAATTCCACCGTCAATGAGTAAGTGTTCCAATTTCTCTACATTGTTGTTACTTTCTGTTTTCTTTTTGGTTTTGATTTGTGTCCAGTAGCTTAGTGTTTAAGTTCTTGACTGTTAACCAAAAGCTTGGCAGTTTGAACCCACCATGGGGGAAACTTGTGGCAGTCTGCTTTTGTAAAGACCTGCAGCCTTGGGAACCCTGTGGGGGTAGATCTTCTCTGTCCTCTTGGATGCTAGAGTCAGAATCGGCTTGGTGGCCATGGGTTGGGTTTTTAGGTTTAATGACTACTGAGGCTGGGCATCTTTTCATGTGCTTTATTGGCCATTTGTTTGTCTTCTTCAGTGGGATGTCTAGTCAAGCCCTTAGCCCATTTCATCAATGGGTTGTTTCTTCCTTGAGACACTGCCAGACCAACCCAACTGTACAAAATGTGCAATCCCAAATACTTGGGAGAACAAGGTCCCACTGCTTACCTCGGCCCCAGCCAGCCACTCTACTGGCGAATGAGATTCTCCTTGGAAAGACCAGCAGCTTGTTCCTTCATCAAGCACTCTTCCTTATTGATTTAAGTACACAAACCCCAGTTAGAGAGGGCCAAAATACTTGGCCCCAATTGCTCTTTCCAAGGCAGTAGTTGTTTTATTGGAGGAAGATCTCTAGAACTTCTTAATCTGCCACTTTACATAACTAGATTTGTGCTTTGAAAAGTTCTAAATTCTGCAGGAAATTCTCACACCAGTCCTTCTCTTTGGGCCCTCATTGTTTGCTTTAACCACACGCATGAATCCCAGGTGACGGAGGGCGATCACAGCCTTCGGGTGTTGCTTGCTACTTCCCACCCAGTCCTGAGGAGTATGGAGGCTGGCTAAACCAGAGGATGGAGCCTCCTCAGTCCTTCCTGTTGCCCCTAGACAGAGATGAAATCACACACAATGGCCTGCCAGCAAAAGGTGTCTGTTTACAGCCTCTGTTCTGCCAGGAGGTGGGGAGAAGAAAGAATCTCCGTGGTAGAGAGGACAGTTTTCCTACCATTTGTCAGCTGGCTGTTTCTTGATTCCTTTAGGTGCTGTAATGCTTTAACTGGTCTCCAGAGTTCTGAAACCATTGGATCTACATCTTTTAGTCTGTTTGTTTTTGTGTAGGGGTATTGGGGCATGCAGCTACCAGCTTGCCACCAGCCTGCCTCCAACAGATGAACTTTCTATTTGAAAAAACACCGAAAGAACTATTTTTGTCCAATTAACTATTTCTTGCCTTAAATGTATTTCGTCTAATATAAAACTGCCACAACTGCTTTTCTTTGTTAGCAGAGGCGGAATATATATCAGAGCAGCACTTTATTTTCAACACATGCCATTTTACTATAAACATTTGTGTAATGACTAACTGTCACTACAATCCATTATCTCCACCTTTATGAAAGAAACCCTGATTTAACTCTGGGCAGGAACGTGCCCTGCTAAAGCAGAGATCCAGTAATAAAGAGCAAGACAACATGTGACTAAGTCAGGAGATAAACGGAACACACAGCCAGGTTGTTGTTGTTAGGTGCCATCAAGTCAGTACTGACTCATAACAGCCTTATGCACAACAGAACGAAACACTGCCCAGTTCTGTGCCAACCTCACGATTGTTGCTACATTTCAGCTCATTGCTGCTGCCACTGTGCCAATCCATCTTATTGGGGGTTTTCCTCATTTTCTCTGGCCTTCCACCTTACCGAGCATGATATCCTTCTCCAAAGACTGGTCCCTCCTGATAATATGTACAAAGTATGAGATGAAGTCTGGCCATCTTGGCTTCTAAGAAACATTCCGTCTATACTTCTTCCAACACAGATTTATTTATTCTTCTGACAGTCCATGGTACTTTAAATATTCTCCTCCAACACCATAACTCAAATGCACTGATCTTCTATGGTCATCTTTATTCATTGTCCAACTTTTGCATACACATGAGATTATTAAAAATACCATGGCTTGGGTCATGAGCACCTTAGGCCTCAAACTGTTATCTTTGCTCTTTAAAGTGCTAGATAGTGTAGTATATCTGAATTCCTAGTACAAGATGTTGTTATGTGCCATTGAGTCAGTTCTAACTCATAGTGACCCAGGTTAGGGTTTCCAAGAAGTGGCTGGTAGGTTTGAACTGTTGACCTTTTGGCTAGCAGTTCCAATGCTTCTCCTATGGTGCCACACCAGAGCTCCAGTACTAGATTTAGGGGCACAAATCAGCAGAGAAGATTGTAAGAAAGCTCTTGCAAGGACTGTACTGCTGCTGTTTGCCATGGAGTTGGTTTTGGATCACAGCCACCCTGTATAGTTTCCAAGGTTTTAAATCAGGGTGGGAAACATCTGGCCCACGAGACACACAAGGCTAGCGAAATTATTTGGTCTGCTCCTGCCAAGGCAACCGTCGTTCCAGCCATCATGTTGTTTGTTGTTAAGTGCCTTCAACTCAATCCCAACTCACAGCAACCCTGTCTAGGGTTTCCAAGGGATGGCTGATGAGCTTGACGGCCAACCCTGAGGTTCAAATTGACCTTGCAGTGCAGTGCATTCATCCACAGTACCACACCAGGACTTAGGGGTTAGTTAATTAAATGTTTGACCAAATATAGCAGGCTATTTTTTTTTTAAAAAACTGTTTTATTGTGAATTATGTGATAGCTTTACATTCATCCTATCGTATATCATTTCATTTCCATGGTTACAATTCCCTCCATGCATTATTAACCAACCAAAGGGTATACCCTGCAAGCCTGCCCCCCAGTCATCAGCACACAGCCCCTCTCCCTCTCTAAGTCTAGAGTCCCCAGCCGCTCCATCTCTCCACATCATCGTCTCTGCCTCCATCTCTGATGTCACTATTTCTCTGGGTATGGTCCCGCTCTCCACTCTTCTCCCTTGATGGTCCCAGGGACCTCCACTCCTGGACTGCAAAGTCAACCACATCCTCCCTTTTGCTACACAACATCTACCTTTACAATTCCAACCCTCACAGTCAGTCCTGATAGAAATTATTCACTATTGTATCACAAGAGACCTATCCCCATCTCCTTTCATCAGTCCCGCCTAGACAGACTGGATACTACTCAGTGGAGAGTCTACCTTCCTCCATGATCTCTGGATCTAGGCTCCCTCTTGAAAGCCTGTAAGCCAGTCACTTCCTGCTTTTGTGGTGGTGGTTGTAGCTGTGTGCTGTGGAGTCGGTTCTGACTCATAGTGGCCCTGTACAAGGTTTCCAAGGCTGTAAATATTTACGGAAGCAGAACACCTCATCTTTCTCCCATGAAACAGCTGGTAGTTTTGAACTGTTGACCTTGTGGTTCGTAGCCCGATTCGTAACCACTAGCTGTAGTCCCAGCCCCACCCCCACCCCATTTTGGGTAGCCAATGTCCAAGTTGAGCAGGCTAATTTTTTAAATTGATAATTTTGTATGGTCCACGAATGGTACTATATATTTTGGCAGAATAAAGTTCCCCACCGTACCACTGGATAAGCATTTGATCTCAAGGTCGGTTTGAACCACAAGGTCAGTGATTCAAACTCACCAGCTGCTCCTTGGAAATCCTACACACAATTGCTAAGAGTCAGAATCAACTGGATGGCATTAAATAATGGACCATGTGAACATCAAACTCTGAGACCAGAAGAACTAGACCGTGTCCGGCTACCACTACCAACTGCTGTAAAAGGGATTACATTAGATGGCCGCGGATACAGTGGAAGCAAATGTGGAACAAAACTAACAATGAATAATAATAATAAAAGACTGGGTTTACTGGTCAGAAAGAGACGGGAAGAACCTGACACTATGGCCCATGGCCACCCTTCAGGTCTGGAAAGGAACTCAACCCAACCTCATGGCCTAATTTTTTGCCCAGCAGTTAGACACTAGGTTTAACAGGGGAGAGAGGGACAACAACACTAGTAAGGTGTCCTCACCATGGAATGGTCAATCATTCAAAATCCAAACGGCAACATGTACCTAAGGTCAAAAGTTGAGAAGGGATAAGAAGGTGGGTGGAAGGGAAAGAAGAAGCACAGAAAGGAAGAGGGGTAACTGGTATTACATGGAGGGGAAAGCAATCATTGACATGAAATGAAGTGTATGATTTGTTGAATGTAAAGTTGATGATCTTGTCTGTAAACCTTCACTCAACTCACAATAAAATGTTAAAAACACACACACACAAACATCTTTATGGGAGCAGAAAGCCTTTCTCCTGAGGAGGGGCTGGGAAATTCGAACTGCTGACCTTGTAGTTTAGCACACCAATGCATAAGCCACCACGTTCCCATGGCTCTTGAGGTAGGATTAAAAAGCTAGTAAAATAATAAATATTAAGGTTAGATTTCATCCTAACCCATGCCACTTTTAAAAGTCTTTTTTCCATGCACAGATCCATGAACTGTCAGAAGAACAAACCAATCTGTGTTGGAAGAAGTACAACCAAAATGCTCCTTAGAAGCCAGGATGGCCAGACTTTGTCTCTTATACCTCAGACATATTCAGGAGGGACTAATCCCCAGAGAAGGACATCATGCTTGATAAAGTGGAGGGTGAGCAAAAAGGAGACCCCCAATGATATGTATTGGTACAGTGGCAGCGACAATGGGCTCAAGCGTAGCAGTGATTGTGAGGATGGTGAAGGACCAGGCGGTGTTTCATTCTGTTGTTCAGAGGGTCACTATGGGTCAGAACCGACTCGATGGCACCTAACAACAACAACTCTTTCTCATTATTGTAGCTCTCCTTATTAGCATGCAAACAGCTTTTCTTGTTTTTATTTTGTCCTTACTATGACTTTCCCTAAAGCTTATGTTCAGGATTCTGCCTTCTTAGAAAACACATCTTCTGGTATCCCCACCTTAATGATCACCTGTATGTGATTACATCCAAATATTCATGCCAACACTTAGCATTCCAGACACTTCCATATGGAAATCCCACTACCACCACCACAATGTAGCCATATTAAGCTCTCTCTCACTAGGCTTCAATCAGAGTAGACACTAGGGTCTGTCTTCCTCCCCAAACCCAGGTATGGCCTCCTAGTACTGAGGTTACAATGGTAAGCAAAGGTAGTGATAAATGTATAACTGAATGGATGGTGAGCCTAGGTGGTGGTTGGTGGTTATGTGCCGTGGAGTCTGTTCCGACCCATAGCAACCCTGTACAGGGTTTCTGAGGCTGTAAATCTTTACGGGAACAGAAAGTCTCATCTTTCTCTCGCAGAACAGCTGGTAGTTTCGAACGGATGACCTTGCGGTTCGCAGCCCGATTCGTAACCACTACGCTACCAGAGCTCGTTGGATGGTGAGCCTAGCTAGGGGGAAAATAGCATAGACATGGAAAAAGAATGACAAACCTCAGGGATTGATTAAATATGGTAAATAAAGGCAAGGGAATAGTCAAATCCAGTTCAGCAAAGAATACAGTGGACCATAGAGTAAGGCTAGTAGGACTTCAGGAATGTCTCCTCCACCAATGGATGGAAGAATGGATCAACTACCATTCTTTGATAGTTTGGGTTATTGCTTTATTTTAAAGAAAATCTCTAATTTTTAGAACAACTATCCAAGGACCTCTGTTGCTGTTGTTATGTGCCATGGAGTCAGTTCTGACTCATAGTGACCCTGTACAGGGTTTTCCGAGGCTGTAAATCTTTACGGGAGCAGAAAGCCTCATCTTTCTCTTGCAGAATAGCTGGTAGTTTAGAACTGCTGACCTTGCGGTTCGTAGTCTGACTCGTAACCACTATGCTACCAGAGTTCCTTATCCAAGGACCTCTAGAGAGAGGATAAATGGTCTAGATATACAAACCTGTCAGTCCTCTGGATACTTAGCATCTATGAACTGAGCTACTAATAAGGACTTTGATCAGATGTAGAGTTGTCCTGCTGTGGCACTGTAGAATAAGCACTGGACTGCAAGGTTGGTTTGAACCTCAAGGTCAGAAGTGCAAACTCACCAGCCACTCCTCGGAAACCCTATACTATGAAACGGAACCAACTCCACGGCACTTAGCAACAACAACAATCAGACAAAGGGTGATCACAATTGGATAAGGATCCAGAAACCAGTGAGTAAAGTCAGGCACATTGGCTAAAATTTAAAGTCCAGTATGGTAATTTTCAATTAAAAGGGCAATCTTTATACTAAAAGCTACTATGATTTTAATCCCCATTGTACAAACTGCAGGGGGAAAAAAAATACTTTTTTATCATTTTTATCCACCCAAGTTATCTTTTACTAATACTTTTTGTGGCGTTCTGGTGTGGCGCTGTAGGATAAGCACTGGACTAACAGCAAGGCTGGCGGTTCAAACCCACCAGCTGCTCCTTGGAAACCCTCTAATGGCTGATACGAGTCGGATGCAGCTCGATGATGCTTCACAACAACAATACTTGTTGAAGATTCCATTCTGAACCACTGGTATACTTACTCAAAGTCAAAGGCGTTGATGAGCTAGGAAGGTACTGTGCTTCAAGGATTTGTAGCTGAATTCTGCTATTTATGGCTTGAAAACAAGTTCCCAGTTCAAGCTCTGCATGGCAAACCTGCATATCAAAAAGTGTCACTAGTAAGTATCAATCAAGTTTGCGGGGATTTCAAAAATTCAAAGATTAGAAATTTTAAAAGCATTACTAAATCTTTTTTCCCCCCTCAAATTCTATTTTATCTAATACAAAATTGCCATCTGTGCTTTTACTTGCTAGCCTTTGCCAACAAAGCTTTAGTCATAAATGAAGGTTAATAAGATAAATCTCATGGATTCTAAAAATACAAATTACGCCTACATACTGAGCCTTCAAATTCAGTGAGGGAAGGAAGCAACTCAAAAAAAAAAACAAAGTTCCTAAGCAGTATTTGTGAAGAAAATGTCTGTGAAGTAAACATGAAAGTGGCAGATTATTTAAATAAATTATAGCAGGTTATTTATTCAAAAGACTTAACTGTAGTCATTGAAACTGTTTTTTAATCATATAAAATCAAAATATAAACATGTTCTATTTGAGAATCATCATCCGCTTTCTAATTACAGAAATCAGAGTTGCTGCCAATTGCCATTGAGTTGACTCAGGTTGACCCTGCGAATAACAGAACAAAACAAAAGGTTACCACAAGGAGCCCATCCGTGAGCTAAGAGCCGGATTACTATGCTGAGTGGAAAAGCAAATATAAAAAAGAAAGAAAGGAAGTTGGCAAGAAGGAAGCTAGTGTAAGTATGAGGTGGCCATGGCAAATAAGGTAAAGGTCAAACAAAACCTGAGGCACCCAATAAAATCAAGGAAAGCTAGAGAGGGAATCAGCTACCCACCACAGATTCCAGCCTCGAAAACTCTACGGTGCAGTTCTACTGTGCCATAGAGGGTCTCTGAATCAGAACAGAAAAAAGTACACAACACAGAGGTGCCAACTGGTAATGTGCTTAACTGCTAACCAAAAGGGTGGAGGTTTGAAACTGCCTCAGAGGAAAGTCCTGGAGATGAACTTCTGAAAAAATCAGCCAAACGGTTCTACTCAGACACACCATGAGTTATAGTCCATGTGATGACATCTGGTTTTAGACAGGGGAAAAAATATGAAAACTTACTCTTCTGTACTGCTGATACATATAAAAAGCAAGCTGGTAATTTGTCTGTGATATTCAACCCCGGCCAGCCTATTATGGGATTCCAATTTTCTTGGTGTGAAAGATGAAAAGAGAGACACATAAAGTTGTCCAAACACAGTAATATTGCTGTTGACATGTTGGAACTAACAAGGATAGGCATAAAGCAACAACATAGTGTGACAGACCTCACCAGGGCTCCACACAAGCAGACACAGAAGTCTCTGCTCATCTGCCTGAAAGCTGTTATCCTTCAGTGTGCCCTAAGAACCAATTCCTGGTTCATGAAGAAAACACCAAACAAGCACATGCCACTGACTGAAATTAGACGTTTTCATAAAACAGTCTCCTTGTGTAAAAGGAGTCATGCCTTAAGAAACCAAGTCAGATTGTTTCCACTTAAAAATTCAACTTTTGAGGCTGAAGTAAGATGAAAATCTAAAATAATACAAAACTGTTTATTTTGGCAACAAATGCTAAATTATATAAATAAATGAATCTGCTGCTTTCGCTTTTTTTTTTTTAAGTTTTTATTATGAATTATGTGGGTTTACATAGGAGAACAGCAGTTTTACATTCATCGTATTGTATTTCATTTCATTACAATGATTACAATCCCCTCCATGTATCATCAAATAACCAAAGGGTGCGCCACACAGGCCCGCCCTCCGGCTGCCAACACACAGCCCCTCTCCCTTCCTGAGTTCAGTGTCCCCAGTCCCTCCATCTGTCCACGTCATCATCTGTCTCCATCCCTGGCATCACTGCCTCTCAGGGTAGGGTCCCACTCTCCACTCTTCTCACTTGATAGTCACAGGGACCTCTGTTCCTGGGTTGCAAAATCACTCACTCTCCTCCTTTTGTCAAAAAACATTTACCTCTAAATTTCCTACCCTCACAGTCAGTCCTGATGGCAATTATTCACTATTGTACCACAAGAGTCTTATCCCCATTTCCTTTTGCCAGCCTGGTCCCAACAGACTGGAAATCATTCAGTGGAGATTCTACCTACCCAGCCCCATCTAGAACTAGGCTCACTCTTGAAAGCTTGTAAGATAGTCACTTCTTGCCTTTATACCCATTTTGGGTAGTCAATGTCTTAGTTGCCCATCCCTGTCCACCCTGTGTACTGAGGGGGTGGGAGTGAACATCGCTGTAAAGATTTGTTCCCTTTTTTGAGCTGCTACATCCATAAGTATAGGTAAAGTTCATCAAATTGTAGCAGGTTATTTATTTATTTCCGCCCCCCCCCCCCTTTCTTTCTTCTTCTAGTCGAGTTCTGATCACCCAGCCATCGAAGCCAGGTCAAGTGGGTACTATCTGCAAGTGTGGGTGTTCTTGTGCATCTCCTCTCACTTCATTTCAGCTGGACACTTCACTCTCCGCTCTAGTCCTCTGTGGTCATGCCACTGCCTCTGGGCCCAGGAGACCCTGGGTCTTGCTGTAACTGCTGGCCAACCAGGTCTCCACCCGGGTTCACAGGAGTCTATTGAATGTGGTCGGACTTAGCTCCCAACTTCATTGCTGTTTTATCCCCCCTCTTCCCCTTATCGGTTTCCAACGTGGTCACCAGCCAGACCACATGCCTGCTCATGTATTCCCCTTGAGCCTTAGTCTTGGAAGTCTTAATCTTGCTCTGAGGGGACCTGACCACTTGCCTTGATGGCTCCTGGGCGAACAGCTTAGTTGTACTTATAGTAGTCAATCAGACTGCTGTTATTGTTTCTGATTTTTCCTGTCGGTCTTTCTTTCATGAAGTATCTTCTGCTTTTCTAGCCACTCCAGGCTGATCTACTCATCCCTTCCAATGGAAATTTCCCACCTCAGACAATTCTGGATGGGGTACTGGATTCCACCTATGGTCTTATGCAATGCAAAGGCTCCATAGGAAGCCTCTTTTCACTGTTTCTAATTGTTGGAAATGCTGTGTTAATGTATTAATTTTAGCTCTTTCTTCTTTTGGGATGTGCACATTTATCGCAATAAATTGTCCTCTCGGCACTGCTTTCGCTGTGTCCCAAAGATGGGACACAGTATGTTGTGTTTTCATTCTCATTTGTTTCTAGGAACTTTGTGAATTCAC